GATCGACGAAGTCGCAATCTCACTTTCCTCCGGTGCCACCGTTGTTGATGAGGTCACAAATCAACCACCACGACTATTGTAGCTGTTCCAAATCCTTGCTCTTCTTCTTCTTTTTCTATTTATCCCGTCGCCTGCCGCCTTGTGGGTGGAGGAACTCATGGCATTTCCTGCTATCCTTGATGAATGATGGTTTGGTTCAAGGCTCGTGTGCGACGTGGGTGCGCCGTGGGGGAAGTTCTGTCGAGTAGGGTCGCGGAGAACTACCACGGCAGCCCGCCATGGTGGCTATCATCACAATATGTCGCCTATTGTCGTCGCTGTCAACGTCGTTATTACCGCTAGGGTGCTGCTGCCGTCGCCACCTACCACAGGTGGGTGTTGGGTTCGCTTTGCAAGCAAAACACGTGGGTATGTGTGTTCCAATTGTAATGTGTGATTTTTGGCCGAAAATTGGGAGAAAGGCCACCACCACCACCATAAGGTGGTGGCTGCCGCCATGGACCACCATGGGTAGGTGTACTTTAGTGTATGTATGTGTGTGTATATTTGGTATTTCATTGTAACATTGTAACCGGAGCTAGGATAATAAAAAGAAAGAAATCAAACCACCACCGGTTGCCATGTCGGGTGGCGGTGTGCTTAGTTGTGTTGGGATTGCTTTTTGGATGTTTGGACAAAGGACTAAAACCCTAATAGGCCTATTAAACCCTAATGGACCCAATGAAGCCCTAATGGACCCAAAAGCCCAAACATGTGACTAATGAGTGTAATAAACCCTAATTGACCTAAGGAAAACCCTAATGGGCTTAAGGACTTGGTTTTGGGCCTATTGGGCTAAGATGGGATTGGAAACCCTAATTAGGGTTTAGAAAACCCTAATATTGGATTTATGGGCTTGGACTTATTGGGACCCATATTTGGGAAATTAGAATGGAATTGTGTACTAAGCCCAATCACACCATATGATTTATTCAGAAGAGTGATGGGCTTAATGGATTAAGTCCTTAATGGGTTAAGTGAGAAACACTTAACCTTAATCGTCATTTTATGTGAAACCCTAATTTCGCTTGGGTTTATTGTTGGGCCTTTTTATTGGGCTTTGGTAATTGGGTTATTAATGAGCTATCCAAGAGTAATCATATGGACTAAAATATGTGGATGGGCTTTAGGGTAAGGCCCATATGAGGGGTTGAGCCTAATTTGGAAAATTGGGCCATAAATGGGCCATAATTGGGCCTTTATGATTATATAATATCGGTCCATTAGAATGTTGAATATTGGACTGGACCAAATGGTTGGGCCTTATGGTAAGACCTTATAAAGGTTTGGGCCCAATTTGGAAAATAGGGCCATATGTTGGGCTTTGATCCATAGTAGACTTTTGGGCCTTTGGATTGGGCCTTGTGCTTGAATCAAGCCAAGATAGGGGTAAAGCAATCTTTTACCCCAACATGGACTTATGGACATGTGTTGGAACCCAATTATTAATTAGGTAATGTTTGATATTGACAGTTCGAGAATCTGTCAACCAGCAGCAGGGATTGAGTTTGCGGGACTTTAGCAGTGTGGGATTGAGTCTGCGGGACTTCAGCAGTGTGAGGTGAGTTAGCTTCCAGTAGAAGTGGGTCTACGGCACCAAGGCCGGCCCACTAGTATGAGTTATAGATGAGATAATTGTCTTTGTGATAATTGTCTGGTATGTGTTATCCGTTATGCGTACGTGCTAGTATGCTATGATGTTATGTGATATATGATAGGAGGGGTAGGATAGACCCCAGAACTGGTCGAAAGGACCGAAGGGGTAGTTAGTGACCAGTCATGTAGACATCTTACGCTATATGCTATGATTTTATGTGGTAGTAGTAGGGGTGAAATAGTCCTCAAAGACCGGTCGAGAGGACCAAAGGGGCAGGCTAGCACCTAGATATGCTAGGCAAGGTTACTGGTCAAGAATACCGAAGGGGTATACCAACATCCAGATATGCTAGGCAAGGTTACCAGTCGAGAGGACCAAATGGGTAGGCCAGCACCCAGGTATGCTAGGCAAGGTTACCGGTCGAGAGGACTGAAGGGGTAGGTCAGGCACCCAGATATGCCTGGCAATATGTGTTATGTATGGTATGTGGTATGATGAGAAAACTCACTAAGCTTCGTGCTTACGGTTTATAGTTTTGGTTTCAGGTACTCGTTTTCAAAGGAAAAGAGTCGGGTTGATCGCAGCGCATCATACTATGTTTTCCGCACATGAGATCTTTGGGATTACACTCTTATATGGTTTTATGATAATATGTTTTGATTATTGACACTTTGGTTTTGACATGGAATGTTATTATTGATAAATTTATACTTATGGTTTTATAATAACTTAATTAAAAATGAAATTTTTTGGTCCTGGATTTTGGGATGTTACAAGTTGGTATCAGAGCCTTAGTTTGAGGGATTCGTGCACACTCCCAGGTGTGTCTGAACTCAAACTAAGGACCTGGTATGAAAATTTTCAAAGTAAAATCATTTTATAAAAAGAAATTTGAAAAGAATTTGAAAGAGAAAAGAACTTTGAAAAGAACAAGGTGTGTGATGCATGCAATCAGCCGAGCTCAAGTAAGTTTTCCCCAAGATACCCATACATGTTATCTTATGATATGATATTGTTATGAGAACTGCATGCTAGATTAGGGCTAAGGATCTAGGAGGATGCCTTATATGATTATTGTATGTGCTTGTAGACTTGCATGCTAGTACTGATCAGTCAGTGATAGGATAGCCTGTTTAGGTTATGCCTGATTGTATGAGTCTTTGAATTGCATGTACAGATTCCTGATTAGAGAATATAACGATTTGATTGGATTATGATGGTTAGATTTTCCATTGTCTGAATGTTGTTTGCTTTGTGCTTGTGGGTCTCTTTGTGATGTGGGTTAGCTATTAAATGAACATGCTAAGTCACATGTGACACAGAATGGATAATCTCAGAGGGATAGATTTGACCCTATTGCGCAGCTCTTGTTTGAGTCCAACCGTTCTAGGGATGAGCCTTTTACTCGAAGGATTATTTGATCTCTATTGCATGTGGCTATATTCATGAGGTAGCTAGTTGACATTACTGGGAATCTTTCAGCAGCTGAGGACTGAGTGAGTTTGGGAACCTAGGAAAGCCTAGGATACGTTTCAGTGGGTTAGTAGTGACATTAAGTGAGACTTGGGTGTACCAGTTTGAGGAAGTGACTTGGAGGATTCGGGAGGATTGCTGAGGAAAGTATGGATAGGTGTGGAAGGTAGTATTGGGCCCGTACTACTGAAAGCACATGATCCATACTCGAATCGGTGAGAGTCTTGGAGAATCTGAGAAGCTTCAGGGAAGATGTGACCTAGTTTGGGGACAAAGGATGTTCCAATTGTTGCAGCTTAGCCATGCGCAAGCGAGCTAGTGAGCGTGACAGGGTGTCAGACCCTGAAGGATATGATTTCCATGACGTTGTAGATGCGAGGTCAAATTGGAGCACTTTGAAAAGAGAGGTCCCTGTCAGGTGCGTATAGTAGAGGGTCCCGGGAAGAGACCCATGACTTCGGATCATCGGGTGAAAGGCTAGCAGGGCCAGAGTCAGTGCACCATGTACGAGAAAGTACACAAGGGAGTTTGTCACTCCAGTGGTTTAGGCTGCTACAGGTGTGACAGGGTTGATCATGTCAGCTGAAGGTGATCAGTATTCCTCCAGATGTTGCGGGTATGTCATCTTCTACTGCTAATAGATAGATGATGGGAATATGTATCGCTTTGGAATTGTGAGTGACTTTGGATAGGTCAGATCTCGGGCCAGTCTTCTGCTAGTGTTTGGGTTATCAAGGATCATATATGCCATCCTGCATGTCGAAAAATCCTTGATGAACCCACTGAGGGATGCATCTTGCGGAGCGAGTTCTGCGTGTACCGTTACCATTCCAGATCTTCGTTAGGATATGTGCGGGGTATTATTTAGAGGATATTCGGTCAGGGTTAGAACGATAGTTCTCAAGTGAAGTCAGCGTTCAATGGATCTATCATGGTTCAGGTATGGTCGACAATTGTCTATGGATGAACTTTGGAGTTCAAGGCACTACCGTTGCTAGGGAAAGACTGGTAACATGAAGATAGTGGAGTCCGTTGCAGGTGTTAGATGTATAAGTGGTTGGTCATCGGATGTTCAAGAGAATTGCATTTCTCGCATGGTTTGTGTTTGGTTAGAGTTCAGTGGTGCTGTAATATTGGAAGTGAGAATGAGGATTCGTCAGCCAGAGTGAAGATTAGGGCCTTCAGTTGACAGTGTGAGAGATGGACTGAGGTGTTAGACTGGACCAGATTTCAAGAGTACTCTTCACGATTTCAGAGGATGGACGATCTTAAGGTTTGACCGGTAACAAATTACAATATAATTTTTTTGCATAACCAAGTCAAACTAGTAAATTTTACAATATGTATTCCGTAAATTTTACAATAGAGTTAAAAAAAATTATATTCACTATGATGATATTACCAGATAAATGTATTCTATGATAACATAAAATCTCATTTCCATCAATATTAATTAGAGGGATCAAACTCGTAACAAACTACAATATAATTTTTTTTTTGCATAATCAAGTCAAAAAAAATGGATTGAAATTATGATTTCTAGAATATCACATTCATTTTTTTTTATTTGCTCTAAAAAACTTTTAGTCCATAACAACCAATTGTTACATATATTTCCTTTTGGAATGCCATTTCTAACTCAAAATGGCTCGTTTATGATAGATAGACATGATGCTTTTAAGGTTTTTTTTTCCTTGACAAAATGCTAATGACGTGGGAAAATGAAAAAAACATGATAACTTTAAATTATGAAAGATAAAGTGAATATGAACAAAAGTAGGTATCTATCGAACATAGGAAAAGGCCCACCACACATAACTTTTTGTGGTACCAAATTGAAAAGTCATAAACACAATCTCTGTTTGATTTTGATTATTGATATTCAACTGCAATTCAATGGCGTTATAGTCTATAAATACTCATAGTATTACAATCATGATACATACAAGTTCACCCAAAACTATATCAACACCTTCAAGAAATGGCCGCAAATGAATCTAATACCACCCTGAAAGAAAACGGCAAAACTAGCACAGATCCAGTGCGTCCTGTTGCCAACTTCCCTCCTCCTATCTGGGATGATCGTTTATTGTCGTTAACTGTTGACTATTTGGTAAGAGTACGTACTTCGCATTAAATACGGATCAAATTAACCATGCATACCCTCATGTAAGGAGGGGTTTTTATTGTATCGTTTCGTTAAATTTGACTACGTGTGGTTTCCTTTTAATTTCTAGGAGTTGGAAGCATACGCTAAAGCCATTGACGAGCCAAAAGAAGAGCTGAGAAGATTGATAATTAATGTAAACATGGATTCAAATGCGAAATTATGTTTGATCAATTCTGTCTACCGTCTTGGCTTGAGATATATGTTTCGGGAAGAGATTGAATGTCAACTTGACAAACTTTTCAAGGAGCTGAACATGGAAGATTATGATCAAGCTGATCTTCATACAGTTTCGACCAACTTCCAAGTTTTCAGACAACATGGTTATAACTTGTCTTGTGGTATATGCTACTTGTAGTGATATGTTAATTGTTAAACATGATTTTAAGCAATATTGTTTGATTTGTTCTTGTTAAAACTGCTTGCTATATATGATTGCACAGATGTGTTTAACAAGTTCAAAGACCATAGCTCAGGTAAATTCAAGGAATATATTACAGCTGATGTGAGGGGCATGTTAAGTTTTTATGAATCTACACAACTGAGAATAAGAGGAGAATCTATTTTAGATGAAGCTTTCGTCTTCACAGAAGCTCAGCTTGTAGATGTTGTAGACACTCTTGAAGGTAATCTTGCACGACAGGTGAGGCATGCGTTGAGGAGTTCTTTTCATCGAGGGATGCATATTGTAGAAGCAAGGTTATATTTCTCCAACTATGAAAAAGAATGTTCCACATATGATTCACTATCAAAGCTTGCAAATACTCACTTCAACTACCTTCAGCAACTACACAAGGAAGAACTGTGCATCTTCACAAAGTAAGTTACGAATTAACCAAAGAAAAATTCCTAGTTATTGATTTATATTTCTCTAAAAATCTAAAAAATCACTAATGCTTTTAGAAATTCCTTAAACATGTAATGTTAGGAATACATAAACTCCATTTCCTAGATCGGTTTTTCGGTTGTTGGGTTTCAACATGTGGGTTGATGGGTTTCGGTTCTTTAGTTTCAATACATGGGCTTTTTAGTTTTTCGGTTTCAACTCCGTAAGTTGCTATATGAATAATATATTAAATATACAAACTCATGCTTAAGCACTAACTTATGCTTCTAGTTCTAACTAAATAATACAATAATTATTAATAATATAGTAAATGTATTAAATAAGTTATATAATGTATACGTCGGTTTCCGTTCCTTGAGTCGGTTATTGTTTTGGTTTTACATATTCGGTCGGTTACAAAATTCCAAACCCAATTTTTCGGTTTTGAAAAACCAAACCCAAAATCGACGGTTTGATTTTGATTTTTCAATATTAATTTGGTTTGATTTCGGTTTTCTTTATTTCAGTTTTATCTGTTTTTGTATTTTTCATTTTAATTTACTTTTATACAGTGAGTGTCACTTTACTTATATATATATATATATATATATATATATATATATATATATATATATATATATATATATATATATATATATATATATATATATATATATATATATATATATATATAGAGAGAGAGAGAGAGAGAGAGAGAGAGGAATAGTAATTTTGTATGGTTTAACTTTGCCTCTTATTTTTTAGGTATTTTGACACTTTTGGTCATTGCAATCAAAATTTTTATATTTTGTACGAAATCTTTTAATATTTAAAGTTTGGCCACAAAACTTTAAAGAATTGACAACTTTGGTCCTTTTTTTAAAACTTGCTAATTCCAAACGACCCTTTAATTCTTTAGCCATTTTGACACTTTGGTCATTGTTGTCAAAACTTTTATATTTTTTCATAAAAAACACAAAAAACGGTCCAGTACATTCTGTCATCTGTCATTTTCTTCTTTTGGTATATCTTTTCTATATTGATCCTCATATTTAATTTTTTTTTCTTGCTTTCTATCTATCCTTCTCCGTCTGTGAAAATTAGCAGTCGAATTATTCAACCAACATCTTTTAACAAAAACAATACTCAAATCAGACGCATACGGCTCATACGGAGCATGGACAACATATCTAGTTTTATATTAATCAAACAAAACAAAAACTATCAATAAACTTTAAAATACATTAAATATCGTAATACTAACTTTTTTTGTCAATATAAAAGTATTAACAAAATTGTTGGTGTATTATTTGTAAAAAAGCAATAACAATATTTATAATGGTTGATTTTATAATAGATCTAAATATTTTATATTTTACAGTTTTAGGCAAAAGGTTAATTTTCTTTTTCCAGTTACAACCTAAAACTTTTTCCATATTTTTTTATTTCGCTTGGGTATCCGGTTTACAGATTAACATCTGTTAAGCATACCAAATAGAAATTTTGGAAACTAGTAGGTTTTTATAGTAAATGTTTTTTTGTTTAAAGCAGAACATCATCAAACTTATCGACAAATAAACACCTATAACTTTTCCAGCTTTCCTTAATTGAATAAAAAAACATTAGTGTTGTATCGTAATATGATTATATACAACACCGAAAACAGTTTGTAGGATGTTTGACATTTGATGTTGTTTCTATTTTAAGATGGTAAAAGTCATTGATGTATATATGGTTATATGTGGAAAGATCGACGGAAGGGATAATGGTTGTATTTAGGAAAACCGAGAGCTTTCGAAAACAACTAATAGCTGTATATGGGACCTCGTCGTCTAAATCTTACATACAGTAGCGGTTCGCTTTTCCTTTTAAGTATTTTCGGCCTTTCCACATTTAACCATTATACTTTTAGTTTTTTGTCTCGGTTTTCTTTAGGTGATGATCAAAGTCTTTCGTCTTTTTATATATATCAATTACCTTTTTCATTTTACTTCGCACATATCACCATCACATTTTTATTTTAAGTCTCTCGGTATTCTTCGGTTCTAAATGGTATCAGGTGTAGGGTTGTGACATGACCAAGCTTCAAACTTTATGAAGACATGACTTAAGACGATAATTTTATATATATAAAAAAAGAGAAATCATATAAAGTATAGATTAATATCAAATATACCAAGTGTTTAGAAAATTTGTATCAAAACCTAATAATAAAAAGTTAACAAAACTTTATAGTTTTATGTCTAACCAAAAATACGTGTCTTTATAGTTTTATGTCTAACAAAAAATACGTGTCTTGAAAATAACTCTTGATGTAATGTGCCTTGGCATGCGACATCGCTAATATCATTGGCATGCTAGTTTTCAGGATGACGTTGCATTCCCTTGACACCACATTGCCTTTGCGCGCCTTTTAGATCCTTGTTAATCTCACATATAACCATTAGCCTTTGGTTTTAATCTCATTTATTTCCTTTGGAGAACCAAAGTCCCTTAGTCTTCTCACATATAGCCATGACCCATGCACATATAACCATTCCCATTACTATTTTAGTCTTGTTAGTCTTATAAGTCTCTCCTTCTTCCCATATATAACAATTAATCTCTCAATCCTCCTACATTAACCTTTTCATGTTTAGTCTTTTGGTCATCCTACCGTGGCTCTCTAACCGCCTACAATACCATCGTCCCATTATTAAAATCATGACACTATCACAACTTTCATATCGTCATATGGACAACCATTACAATTTTCTTTTAAGTCTTTCGGTCTTCCTAGTTATAAATATTACCTTTTTTGTTTTAGTCTCTTTGTCTTCTTTTAGGGAACAACCATGCCAACCAATAGGATTGACAAGAAGTTGGATTGCCACCTTGGGTGATCAAAACCTCAATCGCCTCACCCCACATAAACCCTACATTCGTATTTTAGGAAATATTATCATTTGCATATCTATGATCTTTTCCGTCCCACAATAGAAACGTCACATATCAAAGCTTCCTACAAACAATTGTCAATGTTATATATAGGCATATAATGGTGACATGCTAGAAAAAACGTCGATTTGACTCATTTGTCATTCGGGAAAGTTTAATTAGTTGTAGGTTTATAGAAAAAAAATAATAAATCTACATCTTCTAATAAATGAAACCTAAAAATAACATGTGTGAGTTTTTTAGAATATCTCTTTAACATGTGATATTTTTCTATGATTTTATTATAATTTTGAAAATATAAAATCATATCTTAATAATATTATTATGTTTATTTTGCTAAACAAATTAATTCATAATTACTTACAATCGACAATATCTTGTTTTTTTTACATTTATTATTTTTTTATCTATATACAAATTTTAAATATACCGACCGTGGTTTCCACGAGTTATAACTTAATAATATTAAAAAACTCGTATATTTGATGATTGTACGGTTCAAACCGATTTTATTTCCTAAAAATACCTGCAATTATTGCCCATTGACTGAAACTTAATATGGGAATAAACAAGAAAAATAATTGAAAATGTGTAGGTTTTATTTAGGAAAAGATAAAACTTTTAATTTGAACAAAAAATATTTATAAAAACTTTAGATATTTTATAAAATTAACCCTATTTTTAATAAATTAATATATTCAGATGATATAGTATGATTAAAATTTTTAAAATGTAAGGCACGGCTAGATACTAGTGCAACAATAAAATTAATGTAAACTATTATACGTGCTCATGTTTTGCATGGGTTAGATGTGGATTATATAATAACTAAGAAACCCAAAACATCTATCAGTTTATATGTTTTTTAATGTTTAAAGAAATAGAAAAAGAGTTTTCCTTTTGGATATTGCCTCTTCAGGCTTCATTCCAAATTTAATGCCAAATAACATCTGCAAAAAAAAGCTAAAACAAAAGGAAAAAAAAAAGAACAAGAGCAAAACTTCCAAAAAAAGAGAATGATTTGTGAAATTTTAGTGACATGGCTGCGAAAACAACTCCAAAAATCTAACCCATTCTATAATCAAAGTGCAATATTTGTCTATAAATGTTTCATCACACAAATCATTTAACAAATGACCAATTTAAAGTCAATAATGAGTTGTTAAAAAGAATCTCATTTAAGTGAAAGGTACAAAGCGTTAAAAAGAAAAATCTGTAATTACAATTTACAATGGTAGAGTAAAAGAAAAATAAGTAGGATGCTATAAGTTAATACACAAAACAAATGAAAATACATCAATGGAATGGAAAATATATTACGTAAGTTATAAGATCTTTTAACAGCACTAAAAGTCGAAGAAATTGAAAGTCATACAGATGATGACAACTACCTGCTACCTTGTATGCTTCAAATAAAGATTAGTACCGGTAAATCAAAATATAAGGAATTAAATATAAAGAAAATTAGATAATTTGGTTCATGAAAGAACACTCCAAAGCCCATTGGCAATCAATGTTCGCTCGGTTTTGAAGAACTTTCAAAATTACCAATTATAGAACTTAACACATACAATGAGAGAGAGAGAGAGAGAGAGAGAGAGAGAGAGAGAGAGAGAGAGAGAGAGAGAGTGTGTGAAAGTAGGATTTCGGGATTAAAAGTTGTTCCAAGTAATTTAATCTGGCTCTAATCCATATATATATATATATATATATATATATATATATATATATATATATATATATATATATATATATATATATATATGTGTGTGTGTGTGTGTGTGTGTGTGTGTGTGTGTGTGTGTGTGTGTGTGTGTGTGTGTGTGTGTGTGAGATCAAGTATCACAAGTAGTAAATCGATTCCGAAAACAACTTCCAAGTCTGTAAATCGTTTGATTTTTTTTATTTTCTCCACCCCTTTTCACAATAAAAGGATTGGACTAGGACTTAAGCCCAAACCTAATAATCCAAAAAGGCCCAAACATGGCCCAAAATATCTCATGGTCAACCCCGATCAAACTTCTGGTCAAAGTCAAAGACTTTAGCATACCATACA